TGGAATTTCCAAAAGGTAACTACAGTAATGATTTCAGCTTCGTAGCTCTTACGGATTGGGCTGTGGGTTAGTCAGTCAGTCAGTCAGTCAGTCAGGACAAACAGTTTTCCATATAGAGATGTGAACCAAAATATAATTATAAATAATATATGATATTGTTACGGCTTACTTTTCGAGTCATTGTCTCGCCTAAAAAGCTAATAACGTTTAAAGCATGAACACAGGTTTCGATTCGATAATTACTTTGATCATTTAAAAGAAATACAGTTCAAAACAATATACTGCATCATACACAAAGGCTTAAATGTGAGCTATATTGTGAGTGACATTACTGATATTCTCCAATCACCTGTAACAAACATTCTAGTTACCGGCTACAGGGTATCACGTAGTCGGACAGCCTTCAGCATAGCACAGTTACTTGTTGCCTATTTGGCTTATAGCCAGACTCACCCACACCTAAATATAGGTGTCGTTAGTCAACCTTCTGGTAAGCGCAACCACAGTCCCCTAATCTGCCTTATCCACCAGCCCACATGCCAAATAATGGGCAAGTTACATACTTTCGAAATAAATACAAAACACAAAAAATATGTACAACCTTTTGCTTATCAACGTTTCGCTCGTGCTAGACTGGCATATTATCCGAATTCATGGCGCATGGCATGGCATTCTAGGGCGAGCGGCTGTTGAGGGGTTGGGAATTGAATTGGAAAACGACTTTCGTCTAATTAGCATAGAGAAGGAAATTGCGTGCGGCGCGTGGGCGCTAACTGAAAGTCGGTAGTCGATGAAAACACGTTGATAAGCTCGCGAGAAAACCATTAACGACCCGACGCCAAACTGGACGCTCATCATTTTTAATAACTGACGCGATCCTGCGGCGTTGCATATATTGAAAAATATGTGAAGTATCATCAGCTTTTCGAGTGTCGCGTGCCGATCGCAAGCCGAGCTGGAAACTCATCTCATGCTGTGGGCTGTCTGACGTTGATCTGTCAGGCATCGGGCGGACATACGCCTGGTGCCTGCTGTTCCCCGATCCTATGCGGCACATCCCATTGTACTGTGCGTCGGACGTTTGGACTATCTGAGCATCCTTTGCGCAGGACAAACAGCAAACATTTTGTCTGTTGTCATCGCGGCATCGTATTTCAATAATAGTCTCAGCCCATCCATGTTTATTTACAGCTTTCAACTCAACTGATGATGGATCATGTTCCACGGCGACGCTTATTGACTAACTGACAGTGGGTCGAGCCACTCGGCTCGGAGGGGTGCGTTTTTCATCAGTTTCGTATGCTATAATACGGCATGGTGCTTATAAGTTTGCTGGCGTGGAAAGTGAAGAGATGGTTATTACATTTTCATAATAACTTTAGGTTAGGTAGGTGAAAACGATTAAGAAAATCTGATAAATTCAAATTATCGCACTTTGCTATATACTATACGATACTATACTATACTATACTATACTATACTATACTATACGATACTATACTATACTATACAATACTATACTATACAATACTACAACACCATAATTTACTATAACACTACACTATAAAACTCTACCATTTCTAAGAGTGCTCTAGGCGGCATTGCCCGACTAGAAGATTCCCTCAAATTTGGTGACTAAGCTGTTAAGAAAATCGACGATCGGAAACAAACTCTTATGGCGGTGCAGTAGGAGTACCTACCTTTAATTTTAAGTCTTTATCCCATTCATACGAACAGATGGACAGAAGATCATGGCTAGATCGACACAACTATTAATGCTGAAGAATATATATGGGGTCAGAGACGTTTCCCTCTGCCTGTTACATAAATTTACTCAGCCCCATTATCCCGTTTTACCCATTTTCAATGGATTTATGGTAAGAAAAGATTCCCATTTCAATATAACAGACAGTTATTTTTTTCATTGGAAGATTTTAAAGACCTTTAACTTCACTAAACAAATTGATTACCAGCCGATCCAAACAGCAATATTATAAAAATATAAATAGGTAAGTAGGAGATATGCCGAACTTCTTTCATATCATATATAAACAAAATCAATCATATTGCTGCTCAAGCTTTCGCCGGGTCAGTTTCTTCCGTTTATATGAAAAGTTCGGGCATATATATGCCATTAAAAGTCTGTATATACAAAATAACAAGGTTCCACCTTTAGTGTTTTGCGATTTTGTGATATTGGGGGAAGGTTTTCAAAAAGAAAATTATTTCTTATCTGTATATATTATACGAGAACTTACTCTGGCTCTTAAAAGTTATATATATAATTCATGGGGTCGGAGATGTTTTCTTCAGTCTTTTGCCTACATTTAGACAAAAACATTAAACTCTTTTCAGCCATTCCCTAGGTATAACAATATAGTATAGTACACACAAATGTACATGAAATAAACATATGTTTGTACTGATATGTTTTCTAAATATAAAGCAGGCCGAGAACTGACCGACTGGTTGCCGACCTTGAATTCAATTCTGTTGATAAAGAGTATTTGTGTATAGGGCTTTGATTTGTGATTTCATTGCGTCTGACTCAACGCATATCGAACCATGCCAGAGCCGATTAAATTATGTTCTAGGAACTACAAGTAGATTTCATTAGCTTAATAATCGTTGGCAATATAAGTAATCTGAGACACTGTATCTCCTGGATAGCCCTCGCATTCCTGAGCCCGCGAGTTATTTGTTTTAGTGAGTGGGGCTAAGGGGACTCTAATGAGCATGTCAAAAATTCTACTGGTGGTCAATCATATCGAACATGTCAGGCAACAGGCGCAGCGGCTGACAAATCGTTCTGATATGTGAAAGTTGCACTCTGAAGTTTGATTTATGTTGGGAACCACGAAAACCAATTGATAAAACGTTAACTGTCATCGGTTTAGTGGCCGTTTAACTAATTGCTCAATAAGGCGCCCAGGCTCAGCTGTGGCTGGTACCTGTTCGCAGCAGCCGTACCATTAGGAAGTCCCATTAGAACAAGTGCAGCATCGAAAGGTGAGCTTGCGGGGCATGCAACGACGGCTGGCCCCAAAGCATTTCTCAGGCTGCCCCTCGGACGACTATTAATCAAAAACTGTAGCATCTAAGCGCACAAAATACAATTTCATTAATTGTAGCAAAACATACAAAAGCATAGAAGGAAAAACCACACCCGCATGCCTATATAGAGTGTTTCCCACGAAAGCGCTGGCCACGGTGGCTACGGCAGCAGCTCACGATAGTCAGATATACATATGTGTACATATATTGACCAAGGCCCTTGACCGACCTGGCGCTACATTAGCGAACTTCGCGCTGGCGACCAATTGGAGTTCAGTCAGGTGGGTGCCCCTGCCGCCGCAGAGCATTAGCTAGTTCAGGCACGTAGCTGCTCACAAAAAAATGAGGTGAAAAATCCACGAAGAGTTACCGAGTTCGAGTATCGCGGCTGCAGTTCACGTGAAGACAGCTGCCGATTCCACGGCAGCAACATGCGCCCTCATATTGCAACTCTGCTCAACAGCAGCAGCAACAACAACAGCAACAACAACAACAACAACAACAACAACAACAACAACAGCAGCAGCAGCAGCAACGTCAACGTCAACCACGTAATCAACTTACAACACATCGGCCTGGTCTATCTACCAGCCAACCAGTCCGTCCGTCCGTCCGTTTGTCCGTCTGTCTATCCATGCGACGGCGCTGCCAACATCCCTTTTGTGCCCGGGCGGGGGAAAATTGCAACACTTTAGAGAGAGAGAAAACGGCAACGGGACCGGGCACGGTCGGACGCAGGCAACCCCCGGAACTTGAGACCAGAACGGAACCAGAACCAGAAGCATATTGAGGGTGCTCGCTCTAATGTTTGGTTTCATTAGTCCTAAGCGACAAATCAAACAGTTTGTGGCAGTTCTTTTTTTTTGGATTTGTAATTTTTGCCAGGCCGTTGTTTACACTCATTAGTTGGGCTCTACGGATTGTCACACCCTCTCTGACAACTAGCATACGTTAGAGAGAACTTCTTGGGATTGGGTTGGGTTGGGTTGAGGGTGAGCGGGTGCTCGGGTGCTCGATTGCTGTGGGGTGTTGCTGCCATTTCCACTATTCAAAGCACATTAATAATCACATTTGGCAACAACAACAGCAACAACAACAAGAAGAGCAGCAGCAACATTGACAGGAGTCGCTTTGAAAAACTGCAAACAAATATTTGCACAGTTTTGAGGCTGAGAAGAGTGCAAACGATTGCGATCGGAAGCGGGGGGCACTTAACACGCCTGTAATTATTGGGCTATTTGGACGAGTTTTGTGGTGCCGTCGATGATTGCGCTTTTTATGAGTTTCCTCATGGGTGCGGAGATTATCAGATAAACAGTTTTGAGTGGGTGCAAAATCCACTAAATTGGTTACATCGTCATATGAGATTGATATACATTGAACTATGCGAGCGCAAGCTGCCGAGGATGTGTATTTCAATTATCTTAGCTAAATGACTTTGAATTCAGTACTCTATAATTTAAAATTAGCTTCACTAACGTACGTCACTTGTCTCGAACGCACGTCAATTTATTTCACACGTCAAATACTTAGAACTACAGCTTATCATTGTTTGTTTTTATTGTTTATTGTTAAAGCTTGAACGATTTTTATGTATTTATGTGAGTATGTATTTGCGTGAATGTATGTAAGTAAATATGTATGTCTGTAAATTTTGAAAACTAAGTCTGTAAAAGTGCTGATATATTTTTTCGCTGTGAGTATGTAGAATGTATCACACTTCTATGCGATTCTCATAAATCTATGTTCGTATATATATATGTGTATGTATATATGCACGTTTAAAAAAGAACTTATTCTTAAATATGTGTTTCTCATAATTATAAATTTTACAGAATTTCATGGCGTTAGCATTAGTGTTGTATTATAAATTTGTATAAGTCATTTTATAAAATATTTCTCTGCTTACAGTCTTACTAATTTACTCTATCTGTCTATCTTTCTAGATGCCAACAGTATTATGGGTATATGTATATGAATTCTTAGGTAAGTAGATATACAATATTCAGAATATATGTTTAAGCAACGATACTTTTTTTTATATTTTATTTAATCTGTTATCCAGTCCCAAGCTGTATAAAGTCCATGATCACAATTAATTGCAGAATGTGTCTTTATCTGAAACATAAAAACGCGCCTCTCCTCTTTAATATAATACCTGCCAGAATGCCGAGTAACGCTTAGTCAGACAAGTTACCATAAATATCGCTGTGATTTAGGGCTTGATATTAAACACATAGTGAGGGTGGTCCATGTTGTTCTCATCACCATAAGCATTAACGCCATTATTAACAAGAACCCAAACAACAACAAACAACGTGCATAATTATGATTGGGTCCCGGGTTCCCCAAAATCACAATCGTGTTGTTGTTCCCTTCAACTTTGTTGTTGTTCTTGTTGTCGCTGTCTGTCGCCAGGGCTTCAAACAAAAGCGACGCTATCACACGAGCAAACAACAAAAGACACTCAAACGGCGACCACACACAACCTACACACACACACACACGCACATATTTATGCTCTCCTCACACACACACAAAGCCTGTGACAGACATCGAGACAATGGCGAAAGAAATGGAGCGAGTTTTTGGGGGGCACATATGACTGTGAAAACGTGTGTGTGTGTGTGCTTGTGTGTGTAGTTGTATTTGCTTATCGAATAATCAAATTGTTTATCGGGCCCAACTAAAAAGTGGAAAAAAAAAAACAAAAAACAAAACAGGCGAAACAATTAATTTTAAAGCCGTTTGATGTGAACACTTTCACCACAGCCCGAGCAGAAGAAAGGGCAGAAACCGTCGTCGGAGTGTCCTTTTGCCCGTTGTGCGATGTTGGGTAAATTGCGTTTGATGTTTGTTGTCATTGTTTTTGTTGTTTTTGCTGTTTTTGTTTGCTGTTGTTTGACTTGAGTACCCCGAGTCTGGGAGCTGCAGCAAGTGCCGCGCGCAGGATAACCATTAATCAAGGCAGTTTACATTTGTATAAATATTTAATTAAGAGACGCGGCTGTGTAGAATCCTGTGTAAGCTGTCAATTCTCAGATTATCTGTCAAGGCCTGGGCGCCAGCGATACAGATTAATCAATTTAATTTTATTTTAAATCTTAAATCTTCTTCTGAAATATCCAAGCGTTTCTTCTGGGTGGCACTAAAAACTCAACGATTTCTAACGCTTAAGGAGTTACAATTTTAGGTATTTGTTTTGAACACTGGAAATAAAACATCTTAGTTATATTTAAGTTATTGGCTTGCAGAGGTTTCTTATTTTAATTAACTATGCACATTAAACTTTTGCTGATGACCAAGCAATTTTTATAAATTTGTTAACCTACGAGATGAAAAATTTAAAATAATTTTATGAGCGAAAGTCATTTTTATTTATTGAATATTTAAAATTAATATATTAAATTACAGATATACCAACATATAAAGCTTAAAAATTTTTTTAAAAAATATCTTAATCCTGCGATTAATTTTTTGTATATGTTATTTGAGCCTCAAGTCGTAAGAAGCAAGAAACAATTACTAGTTATTTCGATAAGCTTCCGGGCTTTTGCACTGCCTAAAACATACAAAAACTTGTAAAGCTAATTCCATAAATAATATTATGTTTAAATTTTTTCTGCTATAATTCTGTAGAAAAAGCTTCTCATTTCTTATTCCGAACTGCCTTTCCACGAATATCAATCGATTGATTGAAGGTGGCGGCTGCAAACTACCCCCAAAAAAGGTTAAATAAAATAAAACACCAAAAACGGCGTTCGGAATTCACTTAAAATGCCAAACAAATAGATTGTTTAACAAATTTTAAGCACGCTGCGCCGGCTGTCAGGGGCTCAGCCTTCCCAGAAAACCAACAAAGCCGCTGAGCATGCGCAGAGGCTCTCCACTCTCAATTTGTATTGTCATTAGCGATTATGGGCCAGGTCCTGGGACCTGGAACCTGGGACTGGGGCGTAATTCGATATGTTGACAAAACGCGTAAACAGCCAGACAGATACGGAGATGCGGAGATACAGACACACATAATTCGATCGCTGACAAGCCTATAAAGCATTTCGAACGGCGCTACTTCAAAATGTTTACTCCTTTTGCTGGTCCTGGTGTCCATTGTGCACTCCAAAAATACGTAATCAAAACCGCAGCCGCGTCCTGGGCACGATGAGCCACCAAAAAATAAATAAAAGAGCAAAGAGCCAAACGATCAAGGACCACGTTTTCATCTGAAATACATATGTATGAATGTCTGTGGCGCAGGCGTAACGAAAGTGAAATCGAGACACAGTCCTAACCGGCAGCTGGAACACCTTCGCATCATCATCATCATCCTCCTCCTCGTCAGCAGCAGCAGCAGCAGCCCGTCTCTGTTGTTAGACGGCACAAAGAACCAGTCGAAAGTCAAAAGGGGCACGCGCTCTCGACGCTCTTCAACCCCGGACCGGGCCTAGACCCGAGTTGCAGACATTGTGACTGATCGGCGCGGGACCCGTGTTGTCTAGACAAGCCACAGACACAAGTTTAATAGACTTATTGTAATTGAGTCACAAAAGCCACACTCGAATATCGAATCACAACTCTTTCACATTCACATTTTCATTTTCCAGCTGCTCAATTGGAAAAGGTGTTGGAGACGGACTCAATCAAAAAATTTTAGGGGCGCATTATGATTCTTCTGTTGAACGCAACTTTACGTGTGACTCGTCACTTTAAAAATTGTCGGAAAATTTAATTAAAATTTTTGCAAATATTTTGCTCGTTTCTTTTCACTTTCACGTTCATTGTCAGCTCTTATTTTATGTTCTGTCCTGTCATGTCATGCGTTTTGTCAAGTTGACTTGCCCACCTTTTTGTGGCCTTTGTCCCAAAAGAGAATACGGCACAATGCGTATAGTTAAATGTTTGCTCATGCCCCCAACACGCACACACCCACACCAACACACACACACACACACATACAGGGCAATATATTTTCAGTGTGCATGTGTGTGGTTGCCGGGCAGGCTAACAAGTTAATTTTCCATATTTTCTTTGGTAAAACTTTGCCAGAACTCTACATCAAAGTCATTATGTGGTCGTCTTTGTGATGGTTTGCTTCGGTTGTCCTTGGTCCCTCATAAGTAAGACAAAGGCAGCAAATGGGAAAATTCTTAAAGTCTAAAGCTATGAACATGGACACTCTATAGTTTGCCAGATAAAGTTTATCTAAACCTTTGTCTTTTTTTATGGTAAAAATACTTAGTTTTATATTGAAAGATTAAAAATATCTTTAATTTATTTTATTTTAATTTTAATTTGTTAATTGTATATAAGAAAATTATTGAATTTTTTAAAATCTTAAATCGTTCCTCTTCAAATGCGATTCGTTCTATTCTGGGAAATTGATTATGTGACAGCCTACATACCGAATTTTGTGTCTTTACCTCTCGAATTCTTTAACTTGTTCTTCGATTTTAATGCTTTACATAACAAAATAGCGTGTTCTATGTAGGATACATTAAATCCCAGCTTCAACAGAGGCCTCCTTCTATATTTACCAATTAAAACACATTTCAATAATGTGGATTAAAAAAGAATTTTTTCATATATTGAATTATAATAAAGAAATTGTCTAATAATAACAAATCAATATTTATAAAAAATTATATTAAATTGAACATATTGTTAGGTACAACAAAGTTTCCAATTCAAAATGCGCTATTTATCTATAAACTCTGTGGAGTTTCTAATGTTTTGAAATAAACTCTTTGATGGTTTGGTGACAATTTGTGGACGATTATTTATATGAACTCCCAATCAAGATAATACAAGAACACCCATTGCAACAACCCCTTGCCAAAATATTTACACCCTCTCCATAAACGACTGGATGGCTGGATAATCCTTTTGCAACCACTCACATGTCTGAGATTTTCACGCAAGAGCAAGCCAAATGATGCCAATCTGAAATGTCAATAGCAGTGCCATCCGCGACAGCGCAAAGAGGGGGGGAGAGGAGCCTGTTGGTTGGAGGCGGGAGTCAAGGGTGTGGCAACGATTGCATGTGCGAACCTGTCAATTCCAAAAATTATCGTACAATTACAGCTCCAGAAAGGTCAAAAGGCGTCTCTCCCTGCAGCAAGAATCGTTTAAAGACAAATTAATGTATATTTAAGCTGCTTTGGAGACTAATTGCCCAAAGGCGCTGGCCAAAACAAGCTCCACAATCAGACACACACACACAAACACACAATTCTTTACAAGCACTGAAAATCTCACGCCTTAGCTGATTAATTAATCAAAGTAAATAGCTGAAGCGAGTAAGCGACGTCATTAGCGTAATCTAAACGGCCTATTGATAAGCTTTTTCCACACCTAATGGCTACATTAATTTACAGAGCAGTCCGGAGAGGACCACACCGACGACGACGACAGAAATGGGTTGGAGCTGGCATTGGGCAGCGCCATTGGAAAATGTGTCGGGAAAAAGCTGATCCCAGACGGCATAGCGCTCCACGAAGGCGGGTGGACCCAATTTGGTGTCATTGTTGTTGTAGAGCAGCTGCATTTGATTAGCATTGCAGGGGGGCCAGAGTTGGCTGGAGTTGACCATGGGCTGCCTGTAAAAATCATACATGGTTGCATCACCAGGGATCACCATCTACAATCATTTGCCTTACCCCGTCGTGGCAAAGTTGCTAATCCAATCGGTTAGGCGCTCCATCATGAAGATATCCTCGTGGTCCTCGCTCATTAGCGAACCATACCACAGGCCAGGCATCACGTACTGCCAGTCATCCGCATGACCCACACCTTTGGGCAGTTCCTCTGGGGTCAGGGGAGCCGAAAGACTCCTTTTGCCTATGTAGTCCATGCGTGTGTAGTAGACTTCGGTGTACTCGCGTGCCATCTCCACCAGCCGGTAAGCGCCATGACCTATGATGCCGTCGGAGAAGATTTCCCCGAATTGCTCAATATTCGAGGCGTTCAACTCGTTGGTATCATTGCCCAGATAGAAGTTCTTGATGCGCCTGCTCTTTAGCGCATCGTATTCATATAGAAATAGTTCCGGCGCATATTCATTGAAGTGCGTAATTATATCGTGCAACAGAAGATCATTATCCAGTTTCCCTAGAAATCGAAGAATGTTAGTTGAGACAGCTTGAAGTCCATCGGTCCTAAACCCCATGCTCACCCAATGTGGTATAGTCCATCTCGTTGCTGGTGAAACTGACCAGCAGGGGCACCCGGTTGAACATGCCTCTGCCTATCAAAGCGCTGGGGTGCTGGGGCATAAAGTTGCCATCGATTTCGTAGTTCCACTTCATGTTCACGAATTTGTACTGCTCCCAATCACTGCAGACTTCCACAATGCGCTGCCAGGTGACGTTGCGCAGGCACTCGGTCAGGTCGAAGGAATCGTACATGGGGCAGGCCACCTGTCGGGCCAAGAGACGAGTCCAGAACTGATTGTGTATGCTAAAGTGATTCGTTGCCGAGCCGCTCATGAGTATGGCTCCATGGAATAGTCCGGCGGACATAGGCGAGGCCAAGTGCAGACTCACAGCCATGGCGCCTGCACTCAAGCCCAAAAGGGTAACCTTATTGGGATTGCCGCCAAATTGGGATATATGCGACTGTACCCACTCCAGCGCCATTACCTGATCCAGATAGGCATTGTTACTGCCAGAGAGAAAGCCCAGGGCGCCCAGCCGATAATTGAAGGCCACCACGACCACATCGTGCTCCAGCAGATACTGTGGACCAGCTTCGTACTGGCTGTGACCACTGCCCATCACATTGGCACCACCGTGTATATAAACAATCACTGGCTGTTGGGCAGCTAGATTTTTGGTAAAGACATTCAGCTTGAGGCAATCCTCGCTCATAAATAATGTAAGGCCCGTCTGCGGACAGATCAGCGAATCGGATGTGGCCTTCAATATTGCAGTTCCCCAAGCCAGGGCGGGTCTGGGTGGCAGAAAACGTAGGTCACCCACAGGTGGCTGAGCGTAGGGTATTCCACGAAACGCAAAGATCGTCTTGTTACTAAAGCTGCTCATAATACTGCCTTGGATGAGACCTAATGAGGTGCTCACCACAGGATCGCTATCACGTGGCTCTTCGGCAAGGCAGAAACTTGGCAGCAGCAGCACCACCAACAGCACCACCAGCCGATTTATTAGGCAAGCCATATTCCTTTCCCTTGCAAAATTTCTAAATTCTATGTGAATATTTTTGATCGACTTTTGTTATTTTGCAATGCGTCCACCCGTCTTTTCCTTAGGGTTATGCGCCGCACCCGCATAGAAGATGTTTCAGCACAAAAACGAGCCACAGACTGGAACTGAATTTGTAGAGTTCACACGGTCCGTTCGTTATCGCCAAGCACTTGATAAGTTTATTATTCACATTTGATTAGCATTTGTATGATTAAAAGTTGCGTCCATAAACAATTTCTGTCATTTATATATAAAAATAACTAAAAAAACAGTTAAAATCTATGCAGTAGGCTGTGTTTGTAGTAGGCTTATGTTTAATAAAATTTAAAAGTTTGTGTATCTACTGCGATCTACTAGGAAGAAGAGGAACCGCAAAACACTGTTTGGCTACTAATTTTGCATTGCCAAGTGTATGAAATACACTGAAATTAAAAAGACCTGATGCTTCTTATATAAATAACAAGCATTGGAAACATGTGAGAAACATAGTATATTTGTAGACTAGATCAAAATATTGAAAATCTTAGCTTTTTATTCAAAAAGATAAATGGAGTTTTTGTATTTTTCCCTTAAAACACACAAAAAGTGGACATCCATCGCAATTTCCATATGTTGTGTGCTTGTAATTCACAAGCGGTTTAAACGCCGGTCTAGTTAATTCCGACAGCCGTTCGTCTAGATTGCTTTTTAATGTGTGTCTGATTTACTTGAACCGTTTTTGGTAATTTTACTAATACTATATAATTTTAAGGGCAGCCACATCCATCCTTTTTCAAAATCTGCCAGCATTAGCTTGGCACTCTCTAGAGTTCATAGTGACCTTGGTAGCTAAATTCATTCGCAAGCAAATCCATTTCAATTGAAACTTATTGCTTCATTGAAGTATTGGACTGGATTGAGTTTCGCAGCCGTTAGAGACAGAGCGCCCTTTCCCTGGCACCACCGATGATGCTGATCCTACGCCCGCAGATTTTTTTAGAATTTCGTAGGTTATTCTCATGCATTTGGCAGCAGGCAATAGCAACGACAGCGCCAGCGGCAGCGGCAACTCGCTGAGATTTAAATGATTTCCTTATTAATGTACATCCCTCTTGTAATATTCAATTAAAACTACCCACGACGCAGTCGTCGTAGTCGCGTCTATAGCTTCTCATTGATTGATATAAGCCGAGTGGTAATTACTCGGGGCCCTGACACTTTTTAGCCCAGGCTGCACTTTGATTTGCCTGGGCAAAAGTGAAAATTATGGCGGTGCTGCTGTGTGAAAAGCTGACAATGACCTTTGTTAAATAAATTAAATTAATTATAGCTGCAGCAATTGCGCCAGTCGCCAACAACATGATCGGAATGAGGAAACAAAGCGATGGCCAAGTTGAAAAAATTATAAATAAATTTACGACGAATAAAAAGACCCTGTTTGTAGAAGATCAATACGACAAGTTGTTCGTCCATTGGTAAACTAATAAACTACGACAATAGGAACTGTGAAATAAAAATTAGAAATATTAAAATAAGTAAAGCTGATGAAAAGAAAATAGGGTTTCTGCTTTTGGACTTTAACTTCCTTTACTTATTTATATGTCGAAATATTTATTTTGTACAAGAAAAAACCAAGAACCATTTATAAAGCAAAGTTTATAAGAGTAAAATATTTTAACGTTAATTCGCTTGAAACAAAAATGTTGAAGAACCTTAATTGGCTTCTTAAGTTTTGATAAAGATAGTATTAGGAACATTTTCGTATATCTGCTATTCAATAATGTTAATGTACATTGTGTAAAAGTTATTTAATTTTGGCACCCTTTCGCAAGCATCTTACTCTTGGTTCCTCCTGCAACTGATTTGTAGTGTTGATTATATCATCCGCGGCCTGAACATCCGGTATAATGTGGCTCATATTAAAATATAAAAAACGTTGCGCGACATTTGTTCACACATCGGCGAGTAGCAACATTTTAATCAAGAAAATTGAAATAATTCATTTTACCCAAACTCTGAAAATATCAAAAATTGCGACAATCTGCTGCTGAGAGGGCGAGAGGAGCTTAGCGCAATATTCCAGTCACTTGAGTGCCCATGTGCGCACCGCATCGCCGCAGGAGCAGCCCGAGCGGCAACCACCGTGCACCGCCGGGCCTTGCTACTCCAGTTGTTGCAAATATATGAGTGGCCTCTTGACAGACATCGTCGTCGTCGTCGTTGCAAGCTCAAACTGTGCCTCTTGAGTGGTTATGTGTATTGTTTGCGGCAAAGCCGCGAAATGCTGAAGCTTCCTGTGGCTTGGTGACGTCGCATCGCGGCCATCAACAGCACAAACGCTTTGGCAGACATGCAAAAATTTCTCACGCATCGTTTGCAGATGTTACGAGAATTGAAAGTGAATTTCGAAAAGGGGTGAAGAGTGGGAGTAGTTTGGGGAATGTCCTTTCCAGCTACTAACTGCTAACTTAGAGTCAGCTGGAATCCCAAAGAAAACTAATATTGCAGCTGTGCCTCCAGTCGACTCCAGTCGCACCTTTGTTACTCTGATTTGCACTCATGACCTTTGCTAAACCGCCGTGATCTTTGAGCACATGCCACGCCCTTGGTGGCCATAAAGATCGATTTCATTTATGTCATATTTGGTAATTTGTGGTGCAGCTGCTCCTTGGTCCACTACAGAATGCATGCGAATGTGAAGCCATGCAAATTTGAGATATTTTAATAAGTCTTGTATTTAAATGACATTCATAAGTTGAAAGGAAACAGTCGCAGCTCTCAAGTGACCACCATGCTGGCCCCGAACAAAGCAAGATGCCTGGCCACGCCCGGCGAACGCCTCGAACGCAACTCGGAAAACAATGCTGAAAAGAAAAGGAGAGGAAAGGAAAGGAAAACCCCAAGCAACAATTGCCAAACGATAAACCACTTGAGTAATCAATCAAAGCGATATGCAGCCCAGGCGAGACGTCGCGACCTCTTGTAATGAATATTTAAAGATGGGAATTATCGCAATGGTATCGTGTTGAGGACTGAGAACTGAGGCTGGGGCCAGGGACAGGGGTAGTTAAGCATTTTGCATAAATGATAGCGAAACAATAGACCAATATCCTTAAGGCACTCGATGCCTTTGCATATGCATGCGATAATTTGAACACAAAAGTGCGGAGCTCCGAACATAGCATATTGCGTCTAATCTGTACATGAATATTTCTTGTAATCAATACGAAAAACTTACCAAGGGCAAGGGACAGGGCCAGGGACAGACATATTGCAGTAGAGCCAGCGAGTTTCTTCTTTTGAAGATCGGCGAACATTCGCTCAAGTGAGCAAGCGCACAAAATGTGAAACAAATAACAAAAGCAAGCACGAGCACTCAGAACGCATTTCTTGGAGGGGTTGAGCGAGAGGCCCTGCCATTGTGATATTGTGATATTGTAATGAGCGTGACGTCTTATTTGTGCAGGACAAGAATAAGAGCCAAGAACTTCGCCGCACCAGAACGGATCGCCGCGGAAGGGTCGCCGAATCCTGAGCGGAGCGGAGCTGAGCTTCCCTTGTGCCAGACAGTGCCAAGAATTTCACACCATTGCGCACACATTGTTGTGTAAATAGGACCTAATTTTTACTTACTTATTGGTTCCGTGCTCAAGTGCTCCAATCAAAAGCTTTCCGCAAGGATTTGCACACCGCTTGGCAGCCCAGAAAGGCTGTCGTTTGTGTCCTTGAAAATCTGTGTTATATTGATCACAATTCAAAGAAGAACAATAGGGATTAGTAAGCTAACCAAGATTCGCTTCGAGATGTTCCCTGTAATGTTTATTTAATCCATAATATATGTTTAAATATATATTTTATTTTACAGTTACAAACTCTGTCAAACTTGTTAATTGAAAATTCATATTGTTGCTCTTTAGATTTAGTCAATTGAAGTTTATCTTATTTTCTGTCGCTTGACTCTTACTCTTTGATAAATTCTCAATCCATCTATTTCAATCCGCCGAGTCGACCAAATCAAATTACTCTGCAACATTTTTGCAGAGAAATTTACTATCCTCTTTTTAAGAAGGTTTCTTTCTGATTTTCTTTTTATTTCTTATTTCATTTCTGCAGATAATGCTTTCTTTACATTATTTTTTAAATATTTTTTCAGCTCTCTTTCGGTTATTTTTTTATATCCCATAAAAATTTCAATTTCGACGCCTTAACAAACAACTTAATGGGCCGACATGCCAATAAACTGGCCAGTTTCAAATTTACAACTCCAATTGCCAAGTTATACAATAAGAATTAATGTGCCCAGTGCCTAACCCTCAATTGGTAGCGCTGAGCCACAAAACAAAACAAAAGGGCTATGCGAACAGGCTGAACCCTGAAACAAAACTTTTCATCAATATGTGCTAGGGTCTACTCGTATTTTTGCCACTTAATTGAGATTAATTGAAGTTATGTGGCCGATCTGAATAAACAGCTTTTCAGCCATTTTGTTTATGGATGCGTTTTATGTGCACAATTCGGAGCCTAACTGAACAGAAAAATATTATTAATAATTACCAGAGGGCACCCCGAAAATAGTCATAGACTCGGAAATCCCCCTACTCAGCGTCGAAATTTTATTAAATTAAATTGAGTGCGACGGAGTGCAATGGCAGCCATTTCAGACGGAAGCCGAAATGTATCTGTAAGATACATGCATGCAAATCAAATATTTGTTGGGCCGAGGTTAATGCACTCGGCTCTTGCTATGGATACTTTTAGAGAGTGTACGCCTCTGTGTCTGTGTGTATGTTGTGCGTGTGTGGCTCTCGCCTAGACCTTAATTGGTCTACACATTGAGCTGAGCGTCTGGCTGGCTGGGCTGTTAATAGTTTTTGGCTGCTTTGTAAGTCACAACCAGCAATTTAAGCTAATTGACATTCAAATGCAGTTGAATAAACTTGGAGAGCGACTGAGAAACTATTAAAACATTTAGTTGCACTCATTGTTGGATTAATGTAGATCTGGGAGTCAGTCGCTGGCCCACAGGATCATTTATCATCAGAGAATCCTTTTTTTTTTGCTGGGCAGCTTTTAAATTCGCGGCCATCATTTATAAATTGGCAGATCGAAAACGCTTGAGTAAATCCATTTAATTGCCGTCTCGCAGATCCTGGCTTTAAACTGATGCCCGTGTAATGTGCCGGGCGGCACCCCGTTCTGTCCGGATGTGTTCGCACTCGTGTAAACATGCGTTTGTCATTAGACACACCGGAAATATTGACAGCATT